AAAAAAAAAAAAAAAAAAAAAAAAATTAAGGGAGTAGCCAAACCTAAACTCTGTTCTTCCTCCAAATTTAGTATGATATGATAAGTAACCTATGATATTTATTCTTATTTAGTGTGATATATAATAAACCTAATTTATTATGCATAATAAATAAATTAAATATAGTCTGCTATTGACAGGCTACTAAGTTAAACTTTTAAAAATTATTTCTTATTTGTTTATTCAACACCTTAGAGTAAAATAAAATAACATAATTCATTTTTCAGAGATATCCAACAACTTAAATGCACCCATTTTCTCTAACTAAATATAAGAGTCATATACAGTCAATAAATAAGACAGCACTAATGGTAAAGGCAAAGTAGATATCAGTGGCTTAAAAGTTAAAAGATGTAAAAAGTAAAAAGAAAAATCACTAACCAAATAGTCAAATTCATTATATAGTAGAATTTGTTGTTGTTTTTTAATATTTACCTTGCAACACAAATGATTTGATATATTTGTATATATATGTACATATGTATCTGCCTAATATATTAATATGAAGTAGGATTAGAAACACATACTTCTGATAAATTTTCTTCTATTTATTTAAAGCAAAAAGTAATTTTCAACATTCTCCCAAACGTTATCAAAAAGACAAGGGTGATTATTTCACTGTTTATAATTTAGAAAACTAATATTACATTATTTTTGAAAAAGAAACTCAAAATGTAAAAGGTGTATGCAGTTGGAACAATTTTTTTGATTCTTGAAAAATTGCCAGCCCATCAGATCTGTCATGCTTTAAAAATGATTGAGTTAAAGATACCAAAAAAAAAAAAAAATTAAAAACCCATAGTCATAGGGGCTACATTTAGGCAAAACATGTAAAACAAGTGGAAGTGAATATTTAGTTTTTGGAAATTCACTCTGTAGACCATTTTTTGGTGGAATCCATTCATTTTTGAGCAGCTTGTGTATGATCACTAACTTAGAGTGGGCCTATCTAAAACACTTATGCAATCTAGTAGCCAATTCCCTGTCTTAGATCTCATCTGGACTTCTTCAGTCAAATTTTCATTTTTTCTATGTTTTCTTCTATTGACATGAAAAGAAAATCTCATATTTTAAAGACATTTGACTGGTAATTCTATGTACTATATGCTACAATCATTGTTAGAACAACTAATTCTTTTCCTTTTGTTCAGAATATTACAGGGGTACACAAGTTTTATTTGCACAGTTTGCTGTGTACAGACTGAGTCAAAGTGATAAGCATGCCCTTCACCCAGACCGTGTGCACTGTGCCTGTTAGGATTGAGGTCACCCATCTCCCTCCCCCCGCTTTATTTTTCCTTGAGTGTTACTTCTATGTGTGCAAGTGAATATTGATAGATCAGTTCCAATTTAGTGTTTAGGAACAACTGATTTTTAACACAAACACAAATAATGGTGAGCTAAAAAATTATTGATCCTTCGCAATATCAAATGTCCAGTTGGATGATTTCCTTTATACTTTTTTTTCTACATGTGTTCGAGACCGTGGCAATGTGAGATCAGTGTAGCTAGGAACTATACTGGAATTTTCAAATAAAAGTCTAAAGTACAAAACATGGTCAGAGAATGAACTGTTGTCGTAAGCTACACTTTTTCCAGTGCTTGATTGATCAGTATTATTGTGTATTATGAGATTATATTTAGAATGAGAAGAATAAGATTGTAATTTCAAGCTTCATATTTAGCTATGAGTATGGGAAGTTACTTCTTTTCTATGGAGCACAGTTCCTTCCCTTGAAAGTGAGATGATGCTTGGATTAGAGAAACCCTAAGTGTCTATCTCTATGTTTATTATTGTCATAATACCTAGTATCTCTGAAAACCGGTTTTCTATAAGTGAGGGAAAGTTTATTCTAAAGTGGCTTTTTGTTTTGAAATTTCAGATTAATATGAGGGCACAAATGATAAGGTTACATTGTTTCAGTTTGTTAGGTAAAGGACAAGTCATTTTTTGGACTTGACTGGTTAATTTCAAGAATGATAATACAATGAAAAAAGTTTTACTATAATCACTGCTGGTATAAAGGATATAATAAAAACTATTATCATACATCATGCTACCATGTTCCTAATGTCTATCTTTCTCCTTGAGGCATGAAAACATTATTTAGTAACAGAACTACAATGTATGAAGGTCATAAAATAATGAAGGGTAAAGGGTAATTAGTTTCTTGGTAAAACTAATGATGCCTCCCTGATACCACTCTCTTAACATAACCTGAAATCTCATATGCTTCCTGGATGCCAAGCCCTAGTTTGGCTCTTTCCTTCTACCTTTTCATGTTATTCACTAACTTCTCTAGCTCATTTGGCCTCACAAAGATTTAGCTCATCACAGTCATAGACAAATGTGGATCTTACAATGATTGCTTCATAGTACAATTTTGTGCAAATCCTTATTCATGAATCTAATTAAATTATCAGGCTAAACATAACTATGAATTCAGTCCTTTATAGAACTCTCAAATGCTAATCATGAATACCTCTTTCTATAGTGTTACACATTATTCAATAAAACGTTGGAGTAGGACTCAGGAGAAATGAGTTCTAATTTCAGCTCTACTATTGAGAAGCTAAGAGCACCTTGACATGCCATTTAAACTTTCCTAACTCCAGTTTCATCATCTTCAGAAACAGGGTTACTCATACTCTCCTATGGATCTTAAGGAGTTTATACATATATCTAGAAGATCCTCTGAGACCCAGAATTGATCAGGTTTTTTTCAGTGGTTCTTCTCCACCCTAACAAGGTGTGGACATTCATTTGTTCAATGAACATTTGCTGCTTACTTAATAAATTCCAGGACCTAAGTATAGAAAATGAACCATCTCTAAAGTCTCAAAGTCTACCAAAGGGAGCTCTCATGTTAAGGCATATATGTTTTAGGTTTATAACAGAATTACATGCACAGTACTTCTCTAAAACATTGGATAAACCACTACCTAGACAGTTTAAATATACTACATCAGTTTTTCATATATTTTAGTATCTGAAATAGAGAATTTTTGTGAGTAAAGTATAGCATTGTTAATACTTTCTCCAGGACAGCAGGCAAAAACCAAACCTGCCTTGGGCAAGAGGAACAGCTGGCCAC